TAGCAACCCCCTCAACAAAATCATCAACCTGTGAAGGGGAATAAGCTAAGCTTTTGCACTCTGCAGCACTGCTCAGTGACACAGAGCAGAGAGAAAGTGAAGCAGATTCTTTAAAATTTATAACTGCACTATCTGATAAAGATCTACTAAAATTGAACCTTCTTTTGGGGGAGGAGAACTCTGTTAAAGTAATCCTGAAGGTTATTAGAAAGTGGTCAGAGAGGACAGGGTTGTGAGGAAATACTGTTATTTCTTCACATTCTATGCCGTATGTCAGCACAAGATCCAAAGTATGAAGATGAGAATGCGTGGGACTATTCACATTTTGAACAATGTTGGCTGTAACAGACTGCTGGTCTGCTTTGGGTATATCCTACCCTTCACTAATGACGTACATGTCCAGCCATTTGTATTGCCAATAATGGACAAATCAGGATTCAGAGTTCAGTTTTTCTATCACTTGTATTTGGAAAAACTATGACCTGCAAAAGAAAACACCTTCATGTTAAAATAATTCACCTCATAGAGAGCAATTATTAGGTTTTCTAAAAAAGACAGAACTACAAATAGTTTCTTTTTTTCTTTTTTCTTTTCTTCTCTTTTTTTTGACAAGTTTAAAAACTGGAGTTGTCCAAATCATATATATATATACACTATATTGCCAAAAGTATTTGCTCACCCATCCAAATTATTGGAATCAGGTGTTCCAATCACTTCCATGGCCACAGGTGTATAAATTCAAGCACCTAGGCATGCAGACTGTTTTTACAAACATTTGTGAAAGAATGGGTCGCTCTCAGGAGCTCAGTGAATTCCAGCGTGGAACTGTGATAGGATGCCACCTGTGCAACAAATCCAGTCGTGAAATTTCCTCGCTCCTAAATATTCCACAGTCAACTGTCAGCTGTATTATAAGAAAATGGAAGTGTTTGGGAACGACAGCAACTCAGCCACGAAGTGGTAGGCCACGTAAACTGACGGAGCGGGGTCAGCGGATGCTGAAGCGCATAGTGCGAAGAGGTCGCCAACTTTCTGCAGAGTCAATCACTACAGACCTCCAAACTTCATGTGGCCTTCAGATTAGCTCAAGAACAGTGCGCAGAGAGCTTCATGGAATGGGTTTCCATGGTCGAGCAGCTGCATCCAAGCCATACATCACCAAGTGCAATGCAAAGCGTCGGATGCGGTGGTGTAAAGCACGCCGCCACTGGACTCTAGAGCAGTGGAGACGCGTTCTCTGGAGTGACGAATCGCGCTTCTCCATCTGGCAATCTGATGGACGGGTCTGGGTTTGGCGGTTGCCAGGAGAACGGTACTTGTCTGACTGCATTGTGCCAAGTGTAAAGTTTGGTGGAGGGGGGATTATGGTGTGGGGTTGTTTTTCAGGAGCTGGGCTTGGCCCCTTAGTTCCAGTGAAAGGAACTCTGAATGCTTCAGCATACCAAGACATTTTGGACAATTCCATGCTCCCAACTTTGTGGGAACAGTTTGGAGCTGGCCCCTTCCTCTTCCAACATGACTGTGCACCAGTGCACAAAGCAAGGTCCATAAAGACATGGATGACAGAGTCTGGTGTGGATGAACTTGACTGGCCTGCACAGAGTCCTGACCTCAACCCGATAGAACACCTTTGGGATGAATTAGAGCGGAGACTGAGAGCCAGGCCTTCTCGTCCAACATCAGTGTGCGACCTCACAAATGCGCTTCTGGAAGAATGGTCAAAAATTCCCATAAACACACTCCTAAACCTTGTGGACAGCCTTCCCAGAAGAGTTGAAGCTGTTCTAGCTGCAAAGGGTGGACCGACGTCATATTGAACCCTATGGATTAGGAACGGGATGTCACTTAAGCTCATATGTGAGTCAAGGCAGGTGAGCAAATACTTTTGGCAATATAGTGTATATTGTATACTAAGCTATCTGAATGTTGATGGCTTAACACTTAAATACAAGTAGATACAAACCAGTAATATGGATATTGTTAAAGATAGGCTCTGTGTCTGCACCTTAAAGCTTTCTCTCTCTCCGGTTCTTTTTCCGGAAAAGAGATCACTCGGGATAAACTCTATAAAAAACGCTTCATAACTTATATGTATTAAATAACCATGAGACATGACAACAGATTTTGATAGAAATTGTAATCTTACTCAGATCAGAGAAGTTGCTTTGAGTTACAGAAGGCAGCTACTCACCCTTGAGCTCACTTCCCGGGAAGTGGCCCTGATTAACAGTTAAAGTGTTATTTTATACAATTCCCGTCTGCCACATAATCACATTTTACATCATACAAGTCAGCAGATGAGGAGATATTCATGGCTCCAGCCTTATCAAAATATTACACTTTGTTCTTAGCTGAAGGACATCACTCCCATTCCATTCCCAAATATTTGCTACGTACAGAATGAAGATTATAACTGTATATCCAGACAGAGGAACTGTCTTAATTAGATAAACTATTGGTTGAAAACATCAGTTCTGACACACAACAGGCAGCTAATATTAGGTGTAATTAACTCAAACATCATCAATGATAATTATCCTAACATTTTTTAAACTTCTTTAGAAAAACATTAGCTGCTCATGATGGGCAAGTACAACCATGCATCATTAGAATGTTAAAAATACTAATAGGATTACTCACCCCCAATTATATGCCTAATTATACCTGAAATGGATGCTTGTGTATTTTCTTCCTGTATGTAACATGTTTGAAAGTTAGGTGAAAACTCTCTTGCCAAAAAGTCTGCAGTAACTGTGGCAAGAAGGAGGCATAGAAGCAATGACAAAAAGGAGAGAGAGATAAAACTAGCTTTATGTGTATCAATATATTTGGATTTTCAGAAATGAAAATAGTAGTGACACATTTTCCTTCAAACAATATAGACTCTTCAGCCCACCCTCAGGGTGCTGCATCGTCTCGCACTTGTTCATGTATACTTTTAATTTCTATCATCAGATCTAGTAGGGATGTAATTTGCAACAAGTCTGTCCCTTAGAAATAGAAAAAAATGCAGGAAATGAACTGCAGCACTTATAATATAAAGGTGCTCTTTCTCCACAGAGAGTGTACATTTCTCTCTCAGTGCTAAAATGCATAACAAAAGGTGAAAATATGCAACTTTCAGTGGCTAGTTTTCTCTTTTCTATACAATGATGGTCATTGGTCTCTATCGTCACCTCACAGCCTTAGTGAATTGATGATATGTGTCACATTCATAACATGCAAGAAACAGAGCTTCTGTTGATACAGCATTTTATTAAAGCCAAAATTACATATTCTTTGCTCCATACTCAAGGATGATGCTGTTGGTGAGAAAGACATCCAGAAAAAAATAAAACGCACTCTAATATCTCACTGGACTGCCTTCAGCTTAAATGATGGCCCGGTTTTGCCCTGCAGTCATTTTGATAAGCTTCTGCTTTTTCACATCATTGATTTCCTTCCACACTTACATCTGTTTCCCATCAAAATCTTGTAGAATTGATGGAAGAAACAGACCGTTCTGCAAATTCCCCTCTAAAAATACCATGGGGTTAAGGTCTGGAATCCGTAGTGGCTAAACCATGTTTAAATTGTATCTCTTGCTTCTTGAGCCACTCTTGCATTTTTGTTTAAGAATATGTTTGTCATGTCAGTGAAGACATTTGCTGATGGAATAACCTGGTTTTGCAGAATATTCAGTGAATAAGCTGATCTCATGCTTTGGACTCATAATGTTGCTGAATTCAGATCAAAACTAGAACATCATGACTCATCCTGCAGCCCCATCAATTTGGAACAGGCTAAGAAATAACTCATTAAGACCTTCAATCATTCTAACTCCATGGTCAGTTATTCTTTTGTTTTCTACTCTAATTTACCAAACTTTTGTGCAACTGCCAGAAAAGTTGCTCAACATTTTTCTTCACATCATTTTTTTGTAAACCTCAAGCTTGAATAGCCTCACCAACAGGCCTGAGCCTAAGGCTTAAAAATGTGAGATTTGCATTGTTTTATCAAAAATAAATCAAGAGTAAAATCTTTGATTTAGATGAAAATTTATTCATGAGCTTCCATACTGTAGGTACCAAAAGTTTGCATTAAGACCTGATTACTGGGGGGCAGTTATTTTTGTTGTATTTTTTAAAATCAGGCATTAGCTCTAAATCCCTCTGGATTTAATAGGTAACCCCAATTATATTTTCTTTGCTTGATGTACACCAATAACTAGAACACTCAGCTGATCACCTGCAATATCTTTTCCACAACCACAGGATGTGACAGCATGACTTTGTTAGAAATGAGAATCTGCTCGCTGTATCCCATGGTCTTACCCTTTGCTTTATGGAGTACAGGTTGTGAATACTCTTTTGTTGGACATGCAGAACAGCTGCAAAATATGTCACTGATCAGACAATAATACACTTTTTATCTTTGTTTTTGTTTCTCACTGGTCAGCGTAGATTTCTTGGTGCACTTTACATTAGCGCTTGAGTTAGCAGTGTGCATAAGAAGAAGAATTAAGGCTAAGAAAATGCAACACATGCAACATATCTAAACTTTTGAACGATAATTTATCTGCTATCAACAGTCTTTGCCTTTTAAAGACAGCTTTATCAGTATCTGTACTTGTTTGCTGTATCTAGTTTTTTCACATGGAAGAAATTTACCTCCATAAATAGAACTTTTATGCATCTCTTTCCTTGTTCTGGAATATAGAGGACTGACTTATTGAGGTAAATTTTTTCGTACATCTTAACCCTTAAAAGGGGAGAGCCAGAGCACACAGACATCCAAACCACTGTCATTCCTTTAGCAGATAAAATTTAGCTCATGGCTGCTTTACAGAGGAAGTATTGCTGCATTAGAGCATGAATCTACCTTATTAGAAAGCCAGATCTGTAAACATTGTCCCAATCTTACCCTCTTCCGACTCCCTACAGTGATGCGCCTATTCCTGATCTCCAAAGACAGCCGTGCTCATTTTCATCCTTTGTTTTTCTCTGTCTTTATTCTTTCAGTGCACTCCCATCGGCGGCCATGGATTTGTGCTGGACAAATACAAGTGCCAGTGTAGGAAAGGATTTTACCATCCGAGCCGGGTGGCGCTCAATGGCTTTAAAAGTAGGTTACACATTTTGTTGTATTATAAAAAACGGCATTGTGTAATTTCTACACACCATAGCTATAAAAGATCCTGATGGTATCGTTTACACAAAAGGAATACAGCTGCCAGTTTCAACTGAAATGTATACAGCCTCTGAAGTGTGTACAGCCTCTACTGCTGACAAACTTCAAAGTTCTTGATCGAATTCGGACAAAGTATTCAACTTTTCATGTTGAAGCCAAAATCTTCATGCATTTTTATGTGTTTTTATGTCAATATGACCAGTAAAGCAATTCTGTCTTCTCCGTAGGTATTTTATATAGGGGTACCAGAGCAAAAAGGGCTGAATCCAAATGCATGCAGCACTTTAATTTTTTTTGATAAGCACACCATGTCATGTTGGTTTGTAGTTTTTTAACCCACATGCGAATCACACAGAGAACCAGGGAACTTTAATGCTTTATTTGCAAAAATCAACAAAAATCTGGAAGCAGAGAACTGCAGGAAGCTAGTAGAACTTTCTGGTTAGTCTGATGGGAGAAAGTAGACTGATCAGGAAGGAGTTGGTTGATGACAACTGATGACTGATTGATTTGCTGACACGAGGGTTGAAGGGGACATAGCATGGATTTGTGGGGGTTTGATTCAGCATGCTTTGCAGACTGAACCCCAAAGTTCCAGAAGAATGTGACTGAGATCCAAGAGCGTTGGTACTTGCCAGAGACGTCGTGCTGGAGAGCAAGCAGGTGATGAAGACTGAGAACTGCTGCACACAGTTGAGACCTTTTTCATGAAGATGGGGAACAAACAGAGTTTCACTATAGTTGTCCAATAAAAAGTCCACAATAAAAGAGATTCACAAGAAGACAAATTCAACCACAAGGATATTCCTGGTTTAGGTCATTGGCTGGAATGTCATTGGTGGTAATCATCTGGCAAAGAGAGATGACACTTAATTTCCTTATATAGAGGCTAGCCATCTTGAAATAGAAATTTTTACAGGTTTGCAGCAACACCGCTGGGCCCAGCCACCAGCAAAGATCCTCTCTGTGACAGGAAGCTCACTTACACCAGAAAAACAGCCAGCTTCATGCCAGGTTCCAGCTCCAGAGTTTTTTGACAGGAGTGCTTACCTTAGGTGGATCTGTCTTGTGCTCCAGTCTCTGAGTTCTCTGACGATTGTGTCCAGCTTAGCCTCTTTCTAAGCTCCTTTACAAATTATGATCCTAAGAGCTCCTTTGTAGGTTTCCATTACCAGGGTTCTGGATAACAGTCTCCTGAAAAAGAATCATAAACATCTGCTAATGCTGCTGACCTCCAGGACTCTATGCTCTGAGGGAAAACCTCTTTTTCCTGCCGTACCTCTGGGATCTTGTTTTGTTTTCTTGTCCTTCCATCTCTGCCCTCCTGATTCACGCTGTCTTTATTTCCTTTGATTCTTTGGGGCATCCGGTAACTGTCCTTAAGGGAAGGTATATGTCATGATCTACACCTGTTTTTGTTAATTTCAACCTACCGTACCTATTTTCCATGTAGTTCTGGTTTTGGTCTCATCTTTTGGTGAGTTTCCATTTTTTTTTTTCTGATTCATGATTTGCATTTGTGCATTATTATTCTGAGAAGCTGACTGGAAGCAGGGCTGTGTGCTTGGGCAGAAAGGCTTCCCTTGATGAGGAACAAATAATCAGGCGGTTTTGATCCCATCTCAATCCCAGCTCCAACATGCGTTCCCCCTGGAGGTCAATATACTAAGCTGGAGCTTTATTATAATGCCTTGTGATGAGTCCTGCAGTTAAGAGGTTCGGTGTGGGAAGATACTCTTTTTTTCAAACCCTGAGCAGACTACCTCTTAAGAAAATGCAGCTTGTGGCACCTCTGATTTTCCTGCCTGTAACCTGAGTTTGTTCTTTGTGAAAGAAAAAGATAGATCAAAGAGGAAGGAGTTTTTATGTTGTTCCCTGGCAACAAGCTGAAAGAAACCCAGGGTCCCTATAGATTACCTTTTTTGGATCTTTCTTGGCAATGTCTTGTAGGTTAGAGTTCATTTAAAATATTGATGCACAAAGGTGAGTTCTGCAGCCTGTTTGAGCAGAGCTTTATATTAAAGAACTTGGTTTTGCTGTAATTTATTGTTTTTTCACATGTCATGAATTTACTTGAACTTATCCCTGAGTTGATTCTCAGTCATCTATATCATTTTTTTTTCAGGAAAAAAAGTGCATGCTAATTGTTAGAGTTACTCACTTTTTTTCTTTATGTTTTTCGTGGTTCCTCCTCATCTCGTGTTATCCCTGGGATTTTCCTTCTGAACTGTGCTTTTTGTTCAGACATTACTTTGGCATTTACTAAAATTACTTCTTTTCATCACGCTGGTCACTGTCTGTGCAATAAACAACATCTTGTTTGTAAGTTAATAAGAATCGATAAGTACCATTATAAACAACAGTAAAATCATATATATATATATATATATATATATATATGCTGGATGCTTTGATTGTTTGTTTTCCTTTGAAAGGTATTTTATCTTTCCTTTAAAACACCACAGACCATGCATCACTGAGAATTGGTTTGGAGAAGAAAATCGGAGGCTTTAAACAATCTATTCAATTTAAAAAATCTCTAAAATTTAGAAGATAATAAGGATGATATTTTTCTGCCTTGAAACTAGTGTTGCGCCGATGCCATTTTTTTGGCCCCAATACCGATACCATATTAATACCATCTGTTTGAAATTGATATGTGTGTGTATATATGAAGAACTGCATACTACTTGGATGTAAAATAATTGCCATCATGGCTTTGTCAAGCTGCTGACTACCTTTGTGAAGCAGGAAAAAGACTAATACAAAGGGAATCCAGGAGAACTTTTTATTGCCTACCTGGAATGGGTGACAATAGTTGAATAAACTTTTGGCTCTAAAATGGTATCGATGCCCTATTTGACGCACCTATTTGGCACAAATAAAACTGACTCTATAAAGAATAGAGACTAAAGATAAACAATCTGGATTATTGACAGAAATAATAGAGCCTGCTTTTCATAAAGAAAAGCTGCTGCTCCCCTTAACTAAACTAGTCAAAAAAAAAAAAAAAATTTTGTTAAATAGTTTTTTTTTTTTACATCAGAACCAAGTAAAGCGATTGCCTCTGCAGATGTAGCACATTCTCATGGAATATTTCCCATCAGGTATTGTGCTTTGGGAGGTTCAGAACTGCGATCAATTTTATCCTTCTACTGGTTCTCTGAATGTTATTTAAAAAAAAAATCTGAACTGAAAGTCTGTAAAGTGCCTTAAATTGACATGATGTTAAATGCAATATATAAATTAAAACTTATTCAATGTAACTTCATTGTTTGCAGATAGTAGTGACTGTAGTATGAATAAATGCAGCATCTTGATTTAGGAAAACGTATTAAAGGGAGAAGGATAAAGGGGACAGTGTTGTAGTATTGTATCCTCCTTTTATTCATTGTTACCTCGTCTGCTTAATTAAAAGCTGAACTCTTTAATCATCACCCAAGGCCTTGGGATTTATTTGACTAATGATCTTTTATCTCCAGAACTGACAAACTGAGCAGTTATAAGAAGCCACAGTGGAATGTGAATCAATGAATTATAATCCTACAAAACCCCACAGTATATTAGCATTGAGATGCTTTAAGATATGAGCATTTCATAATGCTTTCCTCCATTAAGACTCAAGATCATTATGTGCCATTCATACAACATCACTAATGAATCCCTACATCCTCAGACAGGGAGCAAAGCTCTTACAGAGATGAGACCTCTGACGTGTCCAACAAGTGCCTGCCATGCAGGGAGGGCTGCCCATACTGCCAGGACGACACGCCCTGCTTGGTGCAGGAGGACGGCGGTCTGCGGCTCTCCGTGGCCTCCTTCCAGGGTCTGTGCATGATGCTGGACCTCGCAAGCATGCTCCTGGTCTACCGTTTCAGGAGAAACAAGGTGAGCGGAAAAGGGAGGGCATTAAGAAAGAGTGCTAGAGGTTTGCTTTGATTCCTAAAGTGACTCTTTTGTTCAGTCCAGTAATGTCATCTGTTGCAAATGCATTAAATCAGGTTGTTTAGAAGAAAGAAAAGATCAAACTTTGTGTCTACAACTATGTGCAGTTTTGTTAAGCTTTGATATGCCAATTAGCCACTTTGTTTCATTATATGTGGAACCATGGTGTCCAAATGTTTTTCCACATGCATCATATTTGGGGTTAAAATCTGCCTGCAGGTCGAAAAAAAAGAAAAAAAAAAAGAACTGATATATTTCAAATGCTTAATATATATATATTAAGGTATCTGGCATTAGAGATGTATTGATCTGTTTTTTTTTTTCAATCCAATCCGATTAACGATACCTAGGCTGAGGGTATCAGTCGATATCCAATCCAATTCAACTGTTGAATGAATGAACCATATATCTTGCTATGTGAATGAATGCTTTAGTCTTCACATAAATGTTGTCCTTGAGTTTTTTTCTTGAACATATTGCATAACAACACCAAACATTTTGCTTGTACCAAACATTTTAGATCATTTTATACTGTATCTTTTCTCCTTTCATTTCTGACCAAAAAAGGCACTCATCCATTTTTTCTTTTTGCACAGGAGACTTCTGAACCTTTAAGTGAAATGGAAAAAATCTAAATCTAGATAAGTCTTTTTTTTTTTTTTTTTTTAATAAGTGCATTTATTGTTGAATTGAGCAGGTAAAAGAGACGTTTTGCCAACGGAAAAAGACTATTTACATTGCATTGTCTTATTTCAAGTGCATATTATCAGAATATCTTATTTTAAGAGTAAAAATATTAATTTCAGTGGCAAATCGTGTCATTTACCTACTCAAATTAAGGGTAAATGCACTTAATTTGAGAGATGTTTAGTTATTTCTAGATCGTTATTCCAGTGTAGAATTTTTATTAATATTTTCTCCCTAAATATATCATTATAAATAACTGAAATTGGATAAAGCAAGGGCCTTCAAATCTGGTTCTTGGAGGCGAAAGTCCTTAGAACCTTTAGAAGGGTTAGGGTTAGTGTGTCTGCGGCTAAATCCAAGTGTGAAGGGCAGGTGCACATCTTAAAGTTGCAGAGGACAGGTCCTTAAAGATTTGAGAGTGAGAATGCTTTGATAACAGCTATTAAGATACAGTTGAGAAAAACTTCGTATTGATTACACTTTCTAAAATTGCCTTTCTTCCGCTGTTCATCAACCTCCCACTCTCCTAAGTGCCAAAAACCCATTATAGGCAATCAAAAAGGGCTAATTACACTTTATATCGTGGAGTTATGCTGCAAAAAGAATTATATGTAAATAAGTCGGATACAGTTTTCCAAGTATATTTACTACCTCATCCATAGTGTAAAGAAAATAAAGTTCTTTATGGTTTACAATTATTTTTCTAAACCTCAAATATTAAACCTCCACTGCACATAGGGACTTGTTTCAAGTTGTTGCCTAAGATGCTCTTTGGCAACAGAAATGAAGTAATAAAGGATCATTGTTGCGAAACTTGTCTGTTTGCAGCCTTTGGGAAAGACTAAGTTGCAACTTTTGTAGGTCAGCAAATTAAAGATTATCTATGTTTGCTGCTGTAGAATCTCCTGTTTTGTTTTATTTTTCAAATCACAAGAAATATCCCTTGGGATTTTCATCACCACTATTATAAAATATCTGTTTTTTGCATTGTGCCTTAAAAAAACCCCACAAGACTGTGAATAAATATATATTCTTAACTTCCCTCTGTTGTTTGCTTTGAATCAGGGAATTATTTTGTCAGTCCGGTTACTGAATCTGAACAAGTTTTGATTTTAGATAACACAGCTAAAGGATTAAGTTGTAGTATTTACAAATAATTAAATTCATACAAATGAGCAAATGTGAATATAAAAGAAATATAATCTGCAACAACAGAAGCCAGGAAGTAAATCTGCGACTAACCTTCTAAACAGACACCTTAAGTGTCTCAAACTTCATCTGTGCTGCAAAGTTCTTAAATTGAGCTTTTTTAACGATTACTCTGATGTTTCCTGTTTTTCTCTCTTTTCCACAGAGCATCCGTACATCTGGTCTCATTCTACTGGAAGCCATCTTGTTCGGGGTGTTACTGCTGTACTTCCCAGTAAGTCTCAAATTTGATCTAGCTGACCCATAACCTTCAAAATGGACTGTTTGTTGGGGCTTTCAAAGAAACCACAAGGCCTTGCAAAAATATAGACACTTTTAAAATTTGGCACATTTAAGTAATAACTACAAACTTGGTATATTTATTATCATGTTATGGATCAAGAAAACATAGAACATTAAAGAAAAATCAAACATTGCTTGAAGTATTTTCTGCTTTCTCTATATGCCTATAGCCCTAAATAAACTCCCATCCAACCAATTAATCTTATTATGGAATAGGGTCTCCTTATAGGCAGAATAATCTTACTACAAATAAAACTGTATTCATAAAACTGTATGATGAAGAGCAAAAAAATACAGTAGACTGGTAAGGAATTATGTTATGAATGAGGTTTAAAGCAGGATTGGCTTCTAAAATAAAATCAAAGCTTATGAAACCATAAAAAATGCACAGTTTAATCCATCGACTGAAAATGGAAAGAATAGAGCACGATTTCCACTACTAAGGTGCCAGAATCTGTAAACAGATTTAATAATGTACAAAGAGGCCCCTGTTGAATGAAATCCTGCTTGCTGTCTACCTCAGATCACATAACAGTGTGCCTTACAGTAATTGAAATTCTTTACTTAGAGGTGAAAATCTATTTTCAGTGCAATACTGCAGATTGCCATAAGCATCCTTTTACCTGGACAGTGTTGATGGGATGATGGATGTAGCTAAATACAGGGAAATCCTGTTGAAAAGCTGCAGGTAAATTGACAGCGAAGGTTCTCCTTTCAGCAGGAGAGCAGCCCTAATCATTCAGCCAGAGCTACAATGAAATGGCTCGGATTGAAGGATGTTCATCTATTCAGATGAACATCAGAGCATCTGACTACATGTTCATGTTACAACATATTCTGAAAACCTTCAGCGCTTCTCCTTCCTTTTCTACCATCTCAAGCAAAACAGAGATGTTAACCTTATAGGTTTTTAAACTGAAAAGATCCAGAAAAAAAAAGTTAATGCACTGATACTTTGAAGTTTACCTCTGGAAATTTCTTCTTTTTACACGTCTTACATCCTTTGTTGCTGTTTGGAGGGGATTCTGTGATCATAAAAGTCTTTTTGCATTCAGACAGGATTAGCTGTGTTTGTAGTTTGGTTAAAATCTGTCTTAAAAGCTTAAGAAAATATTCTATTTACCAATGTTGTCTGACAGCATGGAAAGTAGAAGAACAGCACCCGAAACCGAAGCACCACCCACAGAATCAGTCATCAGATGGGCTAAATTAAGCAACAGCAGACATGGACTTCTGTACTAATTGGTCAACTTTTGCAACATCTATTAGGAAAAATCTGCAGTTGTTTTTTAATAACCTGATAAATGCCATGATATGATAAACTAATTTAGAACCTGTTTGAAGTGTGGAAAAACCTGGCTTGTATTTCCATACGCTGTTAGCTAATAAAGCTTTCAAATAGAATACTTGCTGATATTGATGGTTTTGTGAGCACACAGTGGGAGGATGTGACTAGATGTGCTGTTGGCTCCAATATTATTTCATCTAATATTTTGCCTTCTTCATTTCTTTATTCTTATGTTTTTGACATGCCCTCATTATCATATCTGATTAAAAAACGATTGTATACTGTTTTTTTTTCCTAATTAATTCTCCAAACAAACCTTGAGTATCACCTTTCTCTGCATTAGGTAGTCCAATACATGCTTTTCGGGTAATGCACTATCATTTTGAGTGACAGGGTAAAACTACCTGTCATAATCAAAGTTTAGCATTCTTTGCTGACAATATTCCAAAAAGGACAATTAAAAACAATCCACTAGAATTTGTTTCCACATTTGAAAAAGCTTTGCTTCCCATCCAGGAAGCTTTTTCAAATCAAAATGTCAGGAATAGCGTTGAGTTGGAGGTTTTATAAGCCTGGACCTGGATGACTGAGAACCTTCACCAGTATTTTGCTGACAATAATTAAACTAATGCATTTACGTTCAGTATTCTTAATTCAGAGAATCCATACCAACCAGTTTAAAACTTGTACGATTTTCTCTGCAGTGAGAAAAAGTTAGACTCTGGTGCAAGCAATAATATAAACAAATGAAGAAATTACAAAATTACAAACAAACAGATAATCAGTCTCAACACATATCCCCAAAATCTCCCCCTGCTTCATGTGGACCTGAATTATGCACCTACTTGTATTTAATGTAATATCTCAAGTTGGATTCCTGCAGAGGTTACTGTCACCAGGTTTTGGACCTTTGCCTCGGACAGACGGCTTGTCGTCAAAGTTTTTATGTTGTTCTGTAGGCTGAATCGTAGACTAGCATTAAAAGTTTCTTTGCATCCAAAGTTTTAACCTTTCACTAAATAATCAGAAGTCACCTTGTTGAAACATCAAATTATTACACCATATGCAACCAAGTGCTCAGGGTGTGAATTCCTATTTGCCAAAGTGACTGTTGGTTTTCAAATTGTTCAATAATAAAAAAAGGTAAAATGTTGAAAATATTCAGCCAACATTACCCATGCACCCCATGTACACCACAGTTTATAAGCTTGACTGCTTTGTCAATGCAAAGCTAATATCATGCTACCCCATGCAGACACTCTGTTTGTACTGATGAAGATTGATTTAATACCAATGCGTTATCTGAAGGACAGACCTTTAATACATGTACAAAGATTTTATGGTTCATAAACTGCACTTCTTTTCTTCACCTCTGCACCCATGCTGATGAAGATTCTCAGTCATCCAGGTCGTAGTCATTCCGTAAAAGTTTTTTAAAAATCCACTTGACTTGGTTTCCAAGATTTGTAGACGTTTCGCTTCCCCTCCAGGAAGCTTTCTCCTTTCAACATTTGAATTGAGAATTTGAAGCGAAACATCTTCAAATCTTGGAAACCAAGTCCAATGGATTTTTTAAAAACTTTTACGGAATCTGCACCCATGTATGAAGCAATTTTAGACACATCAGAATATGTAAGATTCAAAAATAGCATGTAAACAGCTTTTTCTGCTTTGCTTACTTGCTGTCTAAGCGCTCTTTCAGAGAAAATAAGCTAATCTAGTTGACTGGCAATAGATCCTTTTATTACTAACTATCTTCTTTTTTTCCATTGTTGCTTCTTAATACATGATGGTATAACAACAGAATACCCTGATGTTAATTGTTTGTGTCTCGATAAGCTTAAAATCTCTATAAATAGCTCCCGGAGTTGGAACTTATTCTATGATGTCCCTTCGGTCTCTCTCAGGACTTTGCCACCATGGAATTTCCTTTAGCTAGAATTAATGATGCACATCAAAGCAATGATCCCAACCAAGTCAACATTACTTTATGATTAAAGATGTATTAAAATCAGGATAATCTGTCTGAATATGAGGGAGTGTGAATGGTAAGTGGTAGCATATGTGTGAGAGGCTGTATTTTGACATTGCCGATAAAAGTTTGACATTGTCGATAAAAATAATAGCAAAAAAGGAAATCATACTTAGTATAGTCAATGAATACTGCTTTCTCTAGTGCTTTTACCAACATTATTAAAATGAAAATTGTTTTCTTTTGCAGAATCTAGGGCTTATTTTTGAGAACTTATTTGGGGGAAACAAATATGGAGCTCTTGCTTCATACTATTACATAGTATTAATGACAGACCCATATCCATTTATATCTAATTATACATTCTGAGCATGCAGCAAAAGAAAATCCCCTGTAGAGCTGAGGAAGACAAAACATGGACACAGGTTTATAATTTATACAAGAACCTGCAGCAAGATATTGCTGCAATCACTTGGTTGAAGAAGCACTAGATGCATAACCTGTGGAAAGGAAAAAGGATTGTCGGGTGTATATAAAGTCTCACCTGCACATCCTTGAGCAGTTTTGGATGATCTGAGTTTTTATGCCCTCTAAAGGTGCAGATTTACTGTAAATAGGATCAGATGTTGGTGACCAATAAAATTGATGAACCGTATTTCTGACTTTGAAGTCTTGAATCTTACATGAAAGGTAGATTTAGTAAGTGCACAAACAATTGCCTCCGCCAAGCGATTTATGTTTTTAAGGAGAACTGGTGTGTTTGTTCGTCTGTATGTGTACATTTTTATCATATGTGTCTCTCATGCCAAGAAAGAATCCATTACATTTTGGTGATGATCCACATCATAATTTGGATACAGTAATTTTTCAATAGATGCAATGTGAGATAAGGATATTTAGCGGAAAAAGCAGTTCCGCACTAAACCAAAGAGTGGCAGCAGTGACTATTTACAGCCTTAGAATCGGATTTAAAAAGCCTGGAGGTATTTTCCCGAAGACAAAAACACATGAAAGGGGAACGTTGTTGGTTTAATAGCAGGATCAATTGATAACTTATGAACAGATTTTATGGATTCTTTTTCTTTTACCAGAGGTGTGCCTCATGCCAAGGAACTTAATTCAAATCTGGTAATGATCCAGATCATGTGCAAGCTAGCTATAGATGTAAGCTTTGCTGCTTGGCAGAGGTCTGCGTTCTCCAAGAGCTTTTCTATTTTCTATTATGTTTGCTGATTTTGCCACCAGAGATCTCTGCGATTCTTTGAATTGGCCCATTGGCTGCTTTTCTAATTAACACTCCCATATCAGTCTTATGAGTTTAGATGGATGAATATGCTTTAAGGACGATGGATTAAAAGTGCTGTGGAAGATATCCAAAACAAAACAATGGGGCTTCAATTTTAAAACTAAAAATGATTTAATCTTCCATGCTTGACCTGTCTTCTGCATTTCCTATACATGATGCCTTTTGATAACTAATACTCTCCAACAAACCAAAGAGTTTTACACAACAGTGAAATATACAAACTAAAACACGCACTCTATTTCCAGATTGGGGGTCTTCTAAAGGCATTTTCTTACTCTGGAAAAAAAAAACCTAACCCACTAAGTAAATAACTAATATATTAAAATGCACCCCAGGCCTTTACAAAAATTTTTTGAAAAACGAATA